TATATTCTAGTCACATTTAACATAGACTAAACACCCTGAGAGAATATGGAAGTAAAGAAAATTCCAGAGGTGATACTATGCTCAGGGCAAAAGATGCCACTGATAGGCATGGGAACTGCACCAAATCCTCTTACACCACAAGAAGCTCTCATTTCCATCTTCATTGATGGCTTTGATGTTGGATACAGACACTTTGACACTGCTTCTCTCTATGGAAGCGAGGAGCCTCTAGGAAAAGCTGTGGCAAAGGCTTTAGAGCTAGGCCTTATAAAAGGCCGTGATGAAGTCTTCATCACTTCAAAACTTTGGTGCACTGATGCACAACATGACCTTGTTCTTCCAGCTCTAAAAACCACACTGCAGTTGAGTATAACCCTCTTCCCAAGTTTGTTAATTTCTCTATTTGTAATCTTCCTCTGGATGATGCTTGTTTTCTATGTTTCCTTGAAACTGTTTAGGAAGCTGGGGCTGGAGTATGTAGATCTCTATTTGATTCATTGCTGCGGTCAATCAGGTATGAAAATTTAGCAATGGAAGATTGATTTTGACACAGTGATGAACACTTGTTGGTGACCCCATTCAATTGGTTTTAGGTGGAAATGAACCCATCATGGCAGCAGGGGAAACTTAGAGAATTCTGCAAGCAGGAAGGAATCCATGTGAGTGCATGGTCACCACTAGGAGCATACAAAACTTCGTGGGGTTCAAATGCAGTGATGGAAAACCCAATCCTTATGGAAATAGCTCGTGCAAGACAGAAGAGCGTGGCTCAGGTGCTCTTACTATCTCAGACTTGAACTACTCCGCATTTTAACTATTGTCACCATGAAGTTTTAAACTTTAAATAAAGAGTTTAGTAAACCAATAGGTTGGTTTGTGGGAACGTAAATTCATGTAATCAGTCTTTTGCAAATGCAAGATAAGGCTATCTAATATAAACCCACACAATAGGTCTGAGCATTTCCAAGACCTATGTTGAGAGCTTAATGGCATAGGATTGATCCAGTCTAGCCGAATAAGGCCACAAAGACATTAAAACTTTTCCAACAAAGTTTTTAACACAGCTGCGTACCCAGGACTCGTACTCGAGGCCATTGGTTAACCTCGAACAACCCCATGTCATCGATCGACATGATGGTTGGCTGTGCTTTATTTCTCTGAATGTTTTCTTGTTGGATGTGAAAAATGCTTTTAAGAAAAAGTTATAGAGATCACTTGTAAAAGTACAGAGTTAAGCAGGATTTTTTTTCTCCTTGTTATTCCACAATGCAACCACTCAAAGGGGGAGAGACAATTTGCCAAGTACATATGAAAAGTGAAACATTTTTTTTTATTTCAATCAATCAATAAAAATAAACCTGTGTATGGTACGCGCACAATCTTTGACCATTCAGAAAAAGTTTCACAGTTTCACCGGGACTAAAGTAATGACTTGCACGAGAGTATGTAAAGAGTGTGTGAGTGTATCGTTACTCAAGTTATAAATAAGAAATAATGTTGTATGGAGTATCCGTTTTTTATTTGGACTTAATCTCTCATTTTGATAACCTGGTGGTTCATAAACAAATTATACAGGTAGCACTAAGATGGATATACGAGCAAGGGACAAGCCCCATTGCGAAAAGCTTCAACAAGGAGAGGATGAAACAAAACCTTGAAATATTTGATTGGGAACTGAGCCAGGAGGAATTACAAAAATTGAGCCAGATTCCACAGCGTAGGACAGTTACTGGAGAACAATTTGTATCAGAAAACGGGCCCTTCAAGTCCTTGGAAGAACTGTGGGATGGAGAACCCTGAAATCATTCCTTGTAGCAGCAAAATGTCATCCAAATATATGTTTGTGTATAACTCCATACCCATGGAGTGGATTTATCAATGTTGCCAACCCATTTAATGGGATAAGATTTGGTTATTAACTTGTTATGCCTGTTTTGTTGTATTGTTAGTAACTTTTCCTAAACGTAAGTAACTAGGATCTATCCATCAAAATATTCATAGTGAAGGAGATTAGTCTCTAATAAAAACTCACTTCATTCTGTCCTACTCTTGATAATTTAGAGGTACACCATATCTTGTGCTATTGAATATTATTTATAGATGGGAGTGTATCCTCTAGTGTATTATTTAACATAATCCTGTCATGTAAGAGAATCCTAAAAGTGAATGAATGGTGATAAGGGAAGAATGGTGATAAGGGAAGAAAGAGGAAAAAATATTAGAATATGAATTTATAAAATCATCACTTAGGTGTTTCTCTTCCGAAAGGAGCTGCCATAGTTTGCAGCAAGGGCTTGTAGTTTTAATTCAGGGAAGAAGTGTGAGTTTCTGTCACTGAGGTTTTGTATCAAATAGATTGTGAGCAATGAAACAAATATCACAAAAAACAGTTGTTGGCTTCGATCATTCAAGCTCTAGGTTCCATCCCACATGATCATGCTAATTGCTCAAAGTAAATAACACTGTAATATCATGTATATATGTTTCATCAAGTGAATTATCAAATGAAATTAAACCAAATCAAGAATTCATACATATTAATATAGAACCATCAAAATCAAAATCAGCATCATACACAAGTTTAAATAAAAGAACAGAATGAATAGCAATCCTAAAATTCATCAAACAGAAAAGAACTGTGTTAGTGTTACCGTTTGCAAGGTGAAATATAAACCACCGCTTAAAAAAAACAAATAACCCTTTCTGTTCTTTCACTTCAAAAGCGATAAACTCCTATCCCAATATATAACATACTTATGTGGTGCCAGCGGTAAAAAAAGAAAAAAGAAAAAAAGAAAAAAAAAAAACAATGATGAAAGTGGAGTTCTTTTAAAAATTACTCATTAATAAGTCTGCCAATAAATATTTTTGTTTGAAAATTACAGTATATGTTAATTTTTACGACATTTAAAGGATTTAAAGTTTCTTGTTGGAGATACTTATCTACTTACAGAAGTATGTGAGATCTTTGGGGAGGGGCCGCTTTAATTGATACTAAACTCTAACTTAAGATTAATCTCATTCGTAATTGGCTCAAAAAGTTAAGTTTATAAGGAAATCTGAGAGGCTGACTTGTCTCAAACAAGTAATTAAAGAGATCATGTTAGGAAAATAAAGAGAAAAAAATATTTGAAGCTCATATACTTTTATGTGTATATATAAAAATAATTATATCTCTCTCAACATCAAAAAAACTTTAAACCAATGTTTTAATATAGCATAACATAAAACTCCTGGTGTTTAAAACAAAATATCTGATGTAAAAGTTTTATAAAATACGTATGACTAGCGGTGTAAATAGGTTAGGTTAAGCTAGGCTAGGTTTTGCCTTAAATAGGCTAGGTTTGTGTTAAAAACATTTAGTCTCACCTGACCTGTTAGTCTGTGTAGGCCCCGAAATATAAGTCTGGCTTGACTTATGTTTAAAAAATAAAAGTTTTAACCTAAGCTTGTTAGCCTGTTTAAACCTATTAAACATTCAACAATTAAAAGAATAATTAAAATAATATTTCTTTATTATTCAAAATAATTAAAATAATAATTTTATTTATATTTTTAACATAAATAATATAATATAGGCCGACTTGTAGGCTAATAGGCCCGACATGTACAAAAAAGTTTATGACTTGTTTTCGAAATAGATTTTCTTAAAAGCCTAGGCCTGTTCTATTTTATTATTTGTAATAGGCTAAGTCAGGACTAATATAGGTGGAGCCAATTACACCCCTACGTATGACCAAATGCTTATATGAACAGTTCAAAATATATAGGATCAGATAATTATTCAACCAACATTACAAATGATCTTGGAGACCAAGATCACAGGATCGAACATTACAAATTAGAAGTCAAATCGAATCGATGACACAATTTAAGGTGACCAAAACTTTCACACGCAATGTTGGCCTTGTTTGTGTAAGAATTGCGCAAGTATATCCAATCACAAGTAATTTAGGGTCTTTGAATCTCAGTTATCGTTCTCACAAAGATCTTGTCGATGTGAATTAAAAATAAAAATTGTCCACAAGAGCACTATATAGCTGTAGCTGTGCCAGATGCAAGTATTGTCTGCACGGGGAGCTCATGGCGGGGAGACACCGCCAACCATGGACCAAGTGAGCAGCAACATTAAGTGGGCTCGGAACTCCACAATCAAACCCAAAACCTTAAGGCATTAGGTGCATGGGTCCTTCCACTTATATAGTGCTCACTTAGTCCATTCTTAACCAATGTGGGACCTTTTTCACTCAATCATTCACACTTGGATTCCTCAACACTTCATACCAATGTCGTGGATTTATAAATATGTTTATTGGGTTTGCACTTATGTATTGTTTTAGGTTTATACTATGTCTACGTATTTGACTTTGAGATTAGATATTGAGGTAGGATATTTATACTATCAATTATTTCTACTATCACTCTAATATAACTATGTACTTTGGGGAGTACATCAAAAATTGTTTTTCTTTTCTTTCTTTTCAAAAACTTTTCAGATATTGTCTGTTGAAAAGTGGGATCCAACGATAATTAGAGTGATAATAGAAAAATGGGATAGTAAAAATATCACCCCTCCTAGATATTATATGTTGGCATTTAGGAGTGAACAACTTCAAAGTGTTATAAACTATCAACAACTTTAAAATAAAAAAGGAATATGAGTGATATGCGAACAAAATGATGAGCAATATTTTATCAATCAAGCTGTGCAAGAAAAAACGTTGGAAGTAAAACTCAATATGTGAGAATGTTATACCCTGATAAAAATAATTTCTCTATTGAAAATTTCTTCTGATGATTTGATTTCATGGCAAGAAAAGAAAATATAAGTAATTTATCATGAAAGAAAATATGTCTGTCGTTGAAATACTTGCTTAAACCGTTTCTTTTTCTTTCAGATTTCAGGTTTAAAACACTTCCAATTTTTATTTTATATTTTTTGTGAAGGAGGGTGCTTGACAAGAAAACGAATCCTCTCATATTTTATTTAACATGATCATATTACATGGAAGAATCTTAACCATATAAAGGTGAATCAACACTAATGATTTTGTAACTACTTATTTCAATCTATTTTTTCTCTCTTATCTGATTATTATTAATCCATCTTTGTATGATTATGATTCTCTCATATAACATGGTCATTTTAATAAATACTATCTTTGTGTGATTATGATTCTCTCACATAACATGGTCATGTTAATAAATACATGACAGGACTCACTCCCCAATTGACAATGAGGATTGGCATATCTAATCCAACATTTTGCACACGTTCGAGGTGGTTTATATTCGATTCTAAGATTTTTCTCTGTCTCTGGTCTTGCAAGCGAGGTGCTTTCTCATCTAAACTTTTTATCTAAAGAAACAAAGGGTGCTTAATTAATGAATTAAATACTTCTTCCCCCATTGTTCATATCTTAAGAAGGAAGAAACAAAGTAGGGGAAGGATCCGTTTACAATTTTTTTTACAAATTACACTAAGTATGACCGGTCATACTCTTGATTAAAGTATAACCGGTCATACTTAGTGTAGTTTGTAAACAAAAAATTTATAAATATAACCTTCCCCAACAAAGTATTATTAATTTGTGGAATGTCAACGACGGGATATGCTTTAAGCCTTAAAAAAATATCATTCCTTTTTATTCTTTTTTTCTCTTTCAGTCTATCTATTGACTTTAAGCAAATCAAGTTGTCAGAGTACCACAATTATATTATATCATATTCTTGTTATTAAACTTTAAATAGAATAACACAAATTAATAATACAAAAAAATATTAAACTTCAAAAAAGTAACCATTTTATTTTGATTTTTTTCCTTATTTATAAATCTTGACCAGTCATGATGAATGGTGTCTGTTGGCAGTGAAGAGTCGTGATTGTTCGACGATAAAAAGTCATACTTTTTCACTAGTAATAGCTAAACTTTAAATAGAATAACAGAAATTAATAATACAAAAAAATATTAAACTTCAAAAAAGTAACTAGTTTATTTTGATTTTTTTCCTTATTTATAAATCTTGACCGGTCATGATGAATGGTGCCTGTTGGCAGTGAAGAGTCGTGACTGTTCGACGGTGAAAAGTCATACATGTTCACTAGTAATAGTTATGTTTGTCCAACAATGTAAAGACATATCTCTTCGCACCCAACTTCTTATCATAACATTTGAATTCTATAAAATTTCTAACAATTAAGACCAAACATATCTCAACTCGCTGAGTACTTATCAGAAACACCTATACATATTGTAGTCACATTTTACACAAACCAAACACACTGAGAGAATATGGATGCAAAGAAAATCCTAGAGGTAACACTAAACTCAGGGAAAAAGATGCCACTAATAGGCCTAGTAACTGCAGCACATACTCTTCCACCACATGAAGCTCTCACCTCAATCTTCATTGATGACTTTTAAGTTGGATACAGACACTTTAACACTGCTTTTTTCTATGGAAGCGAGGAGCCTCTAGGAAAAGCTGTGGCAAAGGCTTTAGAGCTAGGCCTTATAAAAGGCCGTGATGAAGTCTTCATCACTTCAAAACTTTGCTGCACTGATACACAACATGACCTTGTTCTTCCAGCACTAAAAACCACACTGCAGTTGAGTATAACCCTCTTCCCAAGTTTGTTAATTTCTCTATTTGTAATCTCCCTCTGGATGATGCTTGTTTTCTAAGTTTCCTTGAAACTGTTTAGGAAGCTGGGACTGGAGTATGTGGATCTCTATTTGATTCATTGGCCAGTGAGGCTGAAACCTGGAGTTGAATTTTTTCATATGTCAAAGGAGGATGTGCTGCCCTTTGACATAAAAGGAACATGGGAAGCTATGGAAGAGTGCCACAGATTTGGTTTAGCCAAGTCTATTGGTGTCAGCAACTTTGGCATCAAAAAGCTCAACCAACTCTTAAAAAATGCTACTATCCTTCCTGCTGTCAATCAGGCATGAAAATTTAGCAAAGGAAGCTTGATTTTGACACAGTGATGAACACTT